GGAATCCTCGTAGAATATTCTTGGGTCGATGATATTGGAGTGACACAACGCCAGAAATTCCTCGGCTGCACCACAAAGTTTCTAGAAAACTTTTGTGCTTTTGTTTTTGTGCGAGCTTTATACAAAAACTACCAAAATTTTTTTTTACAATATTTTTTAAATCCTTTTTATGTATATTTGTAACATAAAATTTTTCCATCAAAAAAATATTTTAATATTTAAATACTTTCAATATATTTTTTACTCGCATCCATGTAGATGTCAAATTCTTCTAAATTTTTAGTTTTTCCAAATCAATGAATTTAATTTTAATTTTTATTTCAAATTTAATGTAATTTTAATTTTGTGAATTTTTAAACTTTTAAATCTTGAAATATTTCAACATAAATATTTCATAATTTTCCCATTTTTTTACTTGACTATCATTTATTTCACCTTTCAATTACTGAAATATACGTTCCTGTTTTGTATTTACTTCTTCTAATAACTCACACAAGTCTGGTGACGTATCATCTTTGATGCAGGTTCGCACCGCATCAGTATTGGCAACGCACAAGACTGTATAAGGTAAAATGCACTGCAGAATACTGATCGATGGCGTCAATTTCTCTTCCTCGACGTAGTCTTTTTTGTTTGGCGAAGTCTGGGAATGAATCGGCTTTAACTGATTCTTAACTTTCGAAATTATGCGTGGTAGCAGATTTAGATGCAGCCTCCTCAGGGATAATGCCCACTGTGCCAAAACCGGTAATAATACCGACGATGCTGTCTCGACGACTATCGACGACGTGTCGTGGAGTGCTGTCAACACCAATTCCTCGCACTGCAATTTTTATGTAATAACGTATCAATACAAAATATAACAAGGTGTTTATTTTGAAATCTTGTAAAAAAAGTTTCCTGAAAAATAAAATTAAAGATGCTATATGGGAAGAAATGACTTGAAAATTTCCTAAAGGTTTCCCAAGTTTTTTTTTTCGGGTAATAAACACTATATATAAATAAATTTATAAAAATGATAAAAGAAACAATATGTAAAAAGATAGAAAAATATGTAAAACAATAAGATATTTACTTGGAAGTATTTATCAGGATCATCCATTAAAGCTATGAGTAGCGCGAGGCTTTTCACTACACTAGTTCGTACAACAGGATCTTTGTCCTCCAATAACATTTGTTGCAACATTGACAGCATTAGTGAATTTCTGATGGAAGCTGATGTGTGGGATGCCAACACAGAGCAACATTCGACAGCTAATAATCTTCTCTCTGGATACTTGTGCTGACTTTGTTCCCAACAAATTGTTAGAATTTCTTCCGTTTCCAGCGACTCTTCTGCGAGCTTCGCCATGACAATTAAACCTGATATAAAAATAAACTTTCAGCAATAGATTTATTCAGTAAATGAAAAATTTGTTATAAGTGTTCTTTATACATTGTAAAATTACATAAGTACTTCTTTTCTAACAAAAAAAAAAACTAATTTTATTAATAAATCTGGTAATCAAAATAATTAAATTGTACATTTTTTACTGACCGGCCAATATCATTTGTCGCTCATCCTCCTGCGGTCTTTTCTTTAAGTTGAATAGCATTTGTAATAACTTATCCCTCTCGCTAGAATTGGAATGGAGATGAATTGCACTAAGGATCAGAGGAATAATTTCTTCACGTCTATTAAGAATAATGTTGGGTACCACACGTGGCAGAGTATATGCTAAAATGTCAACTAATGTATCCCGGGTGATTCCGTGCTTTAATGATTCTCCCACCGAGGATATTAATGACCCCGAAACATTCGCCATGCAATGTGTCACTATTTCCGACTTGAATTTACTCGGCAAATTTCTGTAATGTCCACAAATGTACAATTAACATATCTTAAATACTTAAAAATCTTCATATAAAAATCTTTGTATTTTTTAAATTATTAATTTAATTATTTCATTTCTTTATAACTTAGAAGAAAGTTTATGTTATTTTTATATTATTTCTCAACTTGCTTATTAACTTTGACTAGTTAAATAAACAAATTATATTAATGTTTTTACAAATTAAATATGTATAATAGCATAAAATAACCTGGAGGATGCAGTTGATAGGACAGAGGATTTCTCTGTAATATTTACTCTAGGTAACTGTAGTCTGGTCCATTCTTTGTCTCCTGGATCTGTTTCATCTAGACTAACTACTGCAGAAACACTATCGTCTTCCTCTGGTTCCTGAGTAGTGGTTGATATATCTCTTGGTAATGGTTCAAGTAGTTCAAACTTATCAGGAGTTGTAGAGTTGGAATTAATAGTACGGATAGTTCCACAGCTACCTGACTATAAGTAAAACAGTAATTACAATAAATTCAAAGCTCAATTTTTGAAAAGAACAGAAAGGAATATTATAATCAAATAACGAGCATTCGTGATCTGTTAATGATCTGTTCCTGTATAATTTTTCAATTGTTATCAATTATAAATCAAAAAAGAGCACTAGTTAGCTTACCTTTACCGGATTTTCTATAACGATTTCCTTATTTGACGAAATAATTTCTTGGAGAGCGTTTTTTTCTTGCTCCAACACTGCAATTTGCTGCTGCAACCTTTCAATCTGTTCTATCTGCAAAAAAATAGAGCTCTTAAAAAATTCGCAAATTTAAGCAATCCAGAATTTAAACATTTTAAAACTTCTGAAACTTTATTAAAGTAACAAACCATTTCCAAAGATTCATCCTTCTGTTCCTCAACATCTTCGATAACAAAGTCCGTTTGCACAGCAACACTTATAGATGGAAGTTTGTCATATCCATTGGCTCTCATGTATTCCCGATATATCTGCAACAATTCCGTAGGTTTCGGAATATTTAGTCCCACATCTTGCCAGTCCTCGAAATCCTGCTCTTCGCATTCATCGCTGAATGTGATCGAGGTAAGCTTGTATGATCTTGCCAACAGATATTCATTGATGAGAAAATTCAGCGCCCGCTGCTCATGTGGTTTTATGGGCAGTTCGATAATTAAATTTTTTTCAGAGTTCTTGTCTGGGGTCTTCAATGTACCCTCCAATTCTGACATTTTAAATATTATTAATTAAAAACCATATTATAAGTTAAAAGATGTTTCATTCAAGTGAGACATACCTGTTACTACAGTCAAATTAGCACGCAGAGCAGAAATATTATCCTTGGCTTTGCGTAATTCAAATTCAAGAATAGCTACTCTTTCGTCGACTCCGGCTCCATCCTCTGAATATCGAGTCATATCCAACGAATCTAAGGTAGCCTGACTAGAAGATCTGGCTAATATTTCATTTATATATAATGTTTTATTTATAACGATCTGTTTATCGTTAAGCAATAACACTGTATTATTAAAGATTAAACCAGAGAACAATCAGTATTAAAATAATAGTCTGATGTTAAAAGTACATACAATGTGAAATATAATAAACAGAAGTTGAAAGTAAAAAAATAACATAAGCAAAGTTTATAGATACAATATAAGGGTAGATTTTAAAGAAAAGATTTAATAGATTTTAGAAATATAAGCATGGTGTAAAAATTCCATATTGGTTTGTAAATTAAAATTATTTTCAAACTTTTTATACACGGCAATTGCCTTATTTGCCACACCTTAGGATTCTGAAAGTAAGTCTGATCTGTGACTAAAAAACAAGATACATACGCATTGAAGTATATGGCTCTGGTTTGATATTGGAGCTCTCGAAATTGTTCGGATTTGAGAAGAATTCCTTAAGGACGGGCAGCTCCTTGCCAGCTTCGCATAATTCAGCATGCAGTTCCAAAGCCGTCAAGAAAAGCTTCTCATTGAGAAGTTTCGTTGCTATCTCCTCGTAGGATATCGATGTCTTTGGAGCCGCATATCCTGAAGTAACAGTATTCGTGAAGAGTATTCCTGCAGTTAATCACTCTGCAGTTGCAACTGTTTTTCAGTAGTTGGTTGTGTGATTCATAATCAGTATATATTATAGCAAGGAGAAGGTTACCTCTGTTATTCGCGGGTAGAGATATTTCCTCGATGATACTCGCCATGATGTTACTACACTCAGGTACTTGGAAGGATAAGAAATGACATATCCACGTGAGACAATATTGGTCTGTCTTGCGTAGTACGCCGCTTTGACATTAAATACTATACGTATGTAACGGAAAATGATTATTTATAAGTCAAATAAGTGACAACTCATCTGACAGACGGTAATATTGCGGTACATAGATTGGCAACTCATGCGCCAAGTAAACTCTACAATGCTCTACAAGTTCATAAAATTCCCTATTAAACGCCATTTAAAATTTAATGGCGAATTCGATTGGGAGCACTAGTGCATATTAAACTTATTGTATACTGATTTAATTTGAGTATAAAAATGAAGTACAAATACTTCGAATTATGAAATATATATTTCACTTAATAATACAATAAAATGCATTAGATATTTCACGATTCAATTAATTTATATTTATTTATAAACATTTATAAACATATCTTTACGTTATTTTGTGTGCGATAGCTTTAATGTGCAAAGTGCGTCTAATCGAATTCGCTATAAACAAATTGGCTGATTTTTTAATGGCTTTTTAATTACTTTTTAATCTCTTAAGATTGCGCACCAATATATTTTAACTTCAAACGAGGCTTAAAACTCTCTCCATCTCTGTCTCCTCTTAACTTTAAAAAGAGAGAGTTTTAAGTCTTAACTTAAAGTCAAAGTGATGTTGCTGCAATCAGGCCTCAAGTTAAAAAAAAATAAATTATACCTCTCATTTATCAACATAAATGATTTTTATTGATATATATAAAAATTATAGAAAGTGACTTGAGAGATGTCACAAAATTAAAAGTATATCAAACTAGTACCATCCCTTTCTTTCTTTTGTTTTTATATATATTATTTAATTATTAAGAATTTATTACAATTATTGGTCGAAGTAAGATTGTTAATAAGATATAATATAATATATAAATGAAGAATTTACTTTATTAAATTGATTGCAACGTTATCATTTCCTGTGTGTATTACATATGCTTGACATTATATCTTAAATCATATATATTATTGACATTTACAAAGCATGTACGAAAAATGCATAGAGTATAAACGTCACGGTCTTTATAATTCATTAATTCAATAAATTCAATGTTAGTTCAATTAAATATTTTTTTTAGAAAAGCACGTCTTCTAATATCTTCTCTAGAAACACCATACTTTCTCCCAATCTTCCACTTTGTCTAAGCAGACATGAATTCAAGGGATTCAAGGGAAACCATCGTCATCTTCCTCGGCCATTTCTTTGGCCAACTCAAGATCCTGTTGTTCCCGCTCTCTACGCTCTTCCGCGGACTCCAAATCTTTCCCATAAGATTTCGGTGGGTAACGCATCGCTTTCACGCTCTGATTGTGCAAGTCCAGGCAGAAGGTGATTCTTTGATGGAAGGCCAACAGTGGTTCCTTGGTACAGTAAATATCCGTGGTCTCCTTGCTGCGCATGTAGCCGTTCTCTGGATCCAAGGTGGCCTCAATAACACCGTCACGGATCGCTTTAGCCACAATAAACTCTGCATCCACGCTGGAGTCCAATCCTAGTTTGCGAGCGATGTCAGCTGGTGAGATGCGCGAATAGGAGAGCCCAATTGAACGGATCGCAGTCTTGATAACGTTGTGCCGCAGCCGCAGGATCAGCGTGAAAGTGTGATCCGCACGGAACTGTGGGCCAAAGTTTTCTAGGACCTCACCGAAACGTTGCAAATTACCCAGACGTACCGCCTGTGTTAATTGAAAGTATGGGGCAAGGGCTCTCCGTAGAGCGGCCTGCCGGAATATCTGTCTCTCTGGGATGTCGCCAAGGAGAAGTTCTACGGCGACCGCCAACTTCTGTACAGTTTGTCTAAATCCAACCGCTGTAGTCTGCGGCGCTTTGCGCATCGCCTGTACTAGATACTTGTGAGCAGCCGAGTACTCCAATCTGGCGGCCTTTATCCTACCGAGATAATAGAGAAAGCGAGCCCACTCGTTGTTGCTGGCCGATTCGGGAAAAGTCGACTTGAGCACCAGCTTGTCTGCTTGATCGTAGAGATTGTAATGTAGATAGTTGCGCAATAGGCAATTGATCAGTACCGCCTGGCCCTCGAAGTCATTCCGTAGTGTTGCAGTACGCAGACGAAGATGTAGAAAGCCACGGATCTTGTCCAGCTGATCCGTAAGCTCGTAGGCTCGTGAGTGATAGAAGTAGCATTTAGCAGCGATCAGATCTATGGTCCTACGGTTCTGCGCGGCAATCTTCTGGACCAGCTGCTCCGAGCACTGCACCGCCTCGTTGTACTTGCCGGTGTCAATTAGTCGAATCAGCACCAGCAAGTGAATGTAGCCATCGATCTCGGGCAAGAGAGATGCCGAGGAACTGCGGAACTTCTGAGTGATAGCCTGGCAGTCGTCCACGTCCATCGGCTCCTCCACCCAAGCGAGCAGGGCGTCCCGCTCAACAGCGGACTTGGTGTAGAAACCCGTGACGAGACCGCGTAGCACGACCGGATTGAGACGACGACGGGTGTTGGGTAAGGCGCGAAGGGCACGGAGAACGAAACGTGGCTCCTTGTTCTGCACCGCTTTCTCAATTTGCCGCGTGTGCTCTCGAATGTCGCACAAAGTCTGCATATCGGTGTCCCTGCGTTCACCCGCGCCGTCACCATCGCCGTTTGTGTTCTGCGTGTCCGACGGATTTACGTCCACGTCCATCGCCTCGACGTTTCTACCGGTCGGTACACCCATCGCTATCCCGTGATAACTATCTACTTGTATTAACTTGTGACCGCAGTCTAATTCACGATATCTGTCCGTCGACGAACAGTCACGGACAAGCACTCTAAACTCCTTTCTTCGGATCGGATATCTGCTCAGATTCTCATCATCCACTGATGTATCGCTGCATATTTGTGCAATTCACGTACGTTTCCAGTAAGGTTAGAAGCGCTCGCTCGCTCGCTTATTGGCTGGACTCAGGCTGTGTTCGCATTGGCGCTTACGACACTTTAAGCATCGTTTCATCCTTGTTGCTCATTAAATATGAAACAAGGACATTGATCGAGCTCGAGCCTCGATCGAGAGCCTAGTTTACATCGCACACTTGATACGAATGCTAACTAGTAACTTTCTATTAAATTATCTTAATTTCGATGATATGTATAAACATATACGTGATATGCATATTTAATTAATTATTTTCATGCATATTGTATTAATTTAGAACATTAGTCTTTAAATAAATTTCTGAAATTGAGATTATTTAATAGAAAGTTAACTAGTTAGGTTAGGTTGGTACGCGTATCGAATATCGGTGTAAAAGAGATCAAAAGGTTTGTTCTTTCTGAACTGAACTTCAGCTAAAAAGAACAGACTTAAGTCAATGGAGTTCGTGATTGATGATGTTGTGATATATGATTTGTGATCCATCGGAATTCGAATAAGTATGGCCGTTAGTACTTCGCGTGTGGAGGAGTTAATTAATTATTTTAAATCACACAACAAAATTCGAGAACAACAGAGCCATTCAGCGAAGGTGCACAGCGTAGGATGGAGTTGCGATGGCAAATACTTGGCTTCGGGCTCCTTCGACAAGTCCGTTTGCATATTCTCGCTGTGTCCGGATCGTTTGGTTAGTAAACATAACCTATAACGATTCCTTTTACGCGGCGCGATTTGCTTCCTCCTATAAAATGAAAACTTTCCGTGAAATTTTCCATACAACTTAACACAGTATTTTATTTTAACTATTTTTTTCATTAATTATTTATCCGTAAAATCGATAATTACAGTAGAGAACTGAATATTAATATATATAACATCCGATATTAGGATGATCCAACGGTATCAGATATTATAGTTGCCCTTTTTGTATGATTCCCTTTGATTTGTAAAAGAAAACTTTATTGTTTTAAGGGAGCCATATAACTATAATAAGTTTAATAATACTGCTTTTATTTTCTTTCTTTGGCATAGTTATTTTTAAAAAAATTTGAAATAGAAAAACAAGAGTCAAGTAACACATCAGAATATTTTTTGTGATTTTCTTTAAAATTGTCTCTTTAAATTTGAATACTTTTTAAAAAATTGCATTTTAAATATTAAAAATTTTCAAATTAGAAAATAATTTACTTTATCGTTTGAAATAGTCATTTAAAATTTTTAATTTTTAATGTTAATTATTTATAATAATTATATTTTTATTAACGTGATTCTAATCATGGATTTGATTATGAAGTTTTTAAAATATTTTTTTTTTTTAATTCAGAAGCAGGAAACGACTTTCAGAGGACATGGCGGTAGCGTAGACCAATTGTGCTGGCATGCTTTTTGTCCAGAATTATTATCTACTGCAAGTGGAGACAAGACAGTTCGCATCTGGGATACAAGAACACAAAAGTGTACAGCAAATATTAGCACTAGAGGAGAAAATATTAATATATCATGGTCGCCAGATGGTAACACGATTGCTGTAGGAAACAAGGAAGACTTGGTCACATTCATTGATGCCCGGGTGATGAAAATACGTGCAGAAGAACAATTTAACTTCGAGGTAAACGAGATCTCGTGGAATAAGGATTCAGATACCTTTTACCTGACAAACGGCCAAGGTTGCGTGCATATACTTAGTTATCCAGAGTTAGAGTTGTTGCATGTGATAAAAGCGCATCCAGGTACTTGTATCTGCATTGAGTTTGATCCAACCGGCCGGTATTTTGCCACTGGATCCGCGGATGCACTGGTCTCTCTGTGGGATGCCGACGAGTTGTGTTGCTTGAGAACATTCTCACGGCTAGAGTGGCCAGTTAGGACTATTTCCTTCTCATACGACGGACAACTTCTGGCAGCAGCTTCCGAGGACTTAGTCATAGACATCGGCGAAGTGCAGACTGGCGAGAAGATTGCTGATGTTCCAGTAGAAGCAGCGACATTCACTGTTGCATGGCATCCAAAACAATATCTCTTAGCTTATGCGTGTGACGATAAGGACTCTTACGATCGGAAACGCGATGCTGGTAGTTTAAAGGTATTTGGTTTTGCAAATGATTGAATTTCATTGTTTTGTGTTTTTCGTCTTGGGTTGTGTTTCTTTCGAGAAATATTTCATCTTTCATAAGTATAAAACACAATATTTTATAAGTAAACTTAAGTAATATTTCATTATCATTACCCCATAATAAAGATTACGATATGTGATATAAAAATGAACTGTATTTAAAATATTAAGAGTGATTATAAATGCAAACAAAAAAATAAAAAATTTTTATGTAAATGCGAATATAAAAGATTGATGAATATTATGATTTAATAAGATATGATAAATTTGATAAGATATATATGAAAAATAAATTTGAAAAGAAATACTTTAAATTATGGAACATATTCATTAAATTTCTGAAAATGTTAATATAAAAAAATAGGCTGCACGTTTCAGCTGAACTATCTTATCGATTATACTCGGAATCGATTTATTGATTAGACTTCTCGAGCGTATCAAGCATGAAATTTTGTTGACCGTTTGGTCGGCATAGTTACCGTTTGGTTTTATTTGAGCCGTGTGAATCACGTTTTGTTTCATCGCGTGATCATTAGTGAGAATTTCGCATTCCTTGCTGATCTCACTCTGCCCCCTTCGATAATCATCTCGCTATGGCGAAGCAGAATGAAACAAACATCTGTGAATGTCGGTACGCTTTTAAAGAAGGTCCGCAAGAAATGAAAGACAACTTCAATAACTTCCCGAATATTCACGAGATCGAAGAGGCAGAGAGCGAGACCGAAGAAATAACGGCTTTAGACCAGCTAGGTCTTTTTGCTTCGAATGAAGAAGTTGTACAGAAAACTAAGGACACGTCAGACGACGAATCCGTGTACATAGGCGAGTCTTTCTGCTCCGACGAGTCCTGCGATGAATCCGAAGTTACCAATGTCACATCAGGATCACTAAATTCTTCGTCTTTGATCCATGTTACTGATCTCCCGCTCAGTCAGAGTTCGAAGGAACAGGAAATTGAAGTTAGTGAGTTAAGCTGGAAAGACAATTGTCAGGATGAGTCTTATTTGTCCAGTGATGAACTGCCTCGTGTCACCACAGCAGATAGGTTTACCAAGTCAAGAAAGTGCAGACGTTGGAACATGAGCTTCACCGACGAGGAAATGCGTAAGATTGAGCGGGAGAACGAGCTACTGCTGAGAAAGATTATGGCACAACAGAAACCTCGGCACAAAATCCTTGGTGAGGATATCATTCAATCTAGGATTAGCAGTTCTGCGATAAATAGGAAGAAGTTGCAAAAGAAGATAGAAAATGATAACATGGTATGTAATTTCAATATCACAGATACAAAGTATAGATGGATGTGTTTCTGTATCTTTTCTTCGTTTTTGTAAGTTGAATACAATAGTTGTGCAGTGCATAACGTGAAAACTTCATTTGCAGCTACTCCTAAGAAGGATACAACAGGCGAAATCTTGCGTTTTCACAAATACGTCGAAAATGGGTTGTAGATTGACCTTTTTGTAGAATTTTTACAATATTGAAAAGATACGATTCATCTCGTTATGAAACAAAATCAACCACATCAGCGGACTAAGATAATCAACTGCTACTGTAAAGAGAAAACATTAGCGTATAAATCAAAAAATTAGGCCTTATCATTTTTTAGTATGGTTCCTAAGTGATCGCAACTCTATTAGGTCGTGCTGTCATAAGCGAGAAATGACATGTAGAAATTTCTTACATGCTATTTGTAAATAAAGAGTTTAAGTGAAATAAGATAATGAGATCGCTTTAAAACACTTATAAAAATGAGTCAAGCTATGCTTGTCTCTAATGATAGTAAATAAGTATAAAAGGCAAGAGAAGTAAAAATACGTGTAAGATTTTCATTTTATGTACCTTTTACGACTATTTACTGATTCGAGGGAGAGAGAGGGGGAGAATAGGATAGCTTCGGTTCATTTTTACAAGTGTTTTAGCACTTCCATATGTTTCATTTTCTTTCTTTACAAATGTTATGTAAGAAATTTCAACGTCTCGTTTCTTATGACTTCACAATTCAATATAATCACGGCGACTAGTTGAAAGCTTTAAATGTAATATTTATGTAAATGTCAATTTTGAAACAACTTACGATGGATTTCGACTTTATAAAGAAAAATCCTCTGTAAAGTTCGTACTTTCTCGAATACAAAACATTATGCTTTTTTGTGACTTCTTTATTAAAACACAACGATTACCAGTCTTGAAGAATAGGTACACATTTCTTTAACTTCACATTTTGTGTATACGGCGCAATCTTGTAAACTCGTCTCTTGAAAATTTGCTTGAAGCTATCTCTACAAGACTATAAAAAATCACAGTTCTCACTCATCTCAAATAACTTAATTATCACTCATGGTTAATATAAAAAATCGGGAACTCTCGAATATTGTGACGATTCTCTTTTTCTTTCTTTTTTCCCTTGCACTATATCATAGACATAGTATCCATTACATTTATATACGAGCAATATCGTAAGAGAAGAGAAAGGGTGTATTGTGTGTGTCAAGGAGCAAATTATAAATTTCTGTAGAAGTAATGTATAATATAGTTTCCTTTAAATCAATGTGTGCTGCGATTATAATATGAAACTGTATTTCTTTTTTTAACTTTTTCTTATCGATCTTGTAATTCCATATCCGTATGTAAATTTCGTATCTATTTCCATTTCAATGTAATTGATCGATTATGTGTTCACTCTTTTTATAACAACAAAACAACAAAACAAGATATTCGCTAATCCTGCACGAAGTATCTTATTAGTAAATAATTTAAAGTATCTCATCAGTTGCTTTAAATAACGAAATAAAAAATAAGTATTAATAATATCTAGATTTTGGTTTAAGAGACTGCAAATAATTTGTTTGAGAGACTATTCACCTGTGTTACTATTGTACAACATAATAGTAACAATTATATCACAAAGTACGCTCAGCGCAGTAGCAACAAAACATAACAATTTCCGATTCAAATATGTTATCGCGGTGGCGGCAATTATTTCACAGCCATTAAAACCGTCGTTATTATCTTTCATCAAAAAATTATGAAGCAAATATAAGATATATGTGTGTGTGTGTGTGTGTGTGTGTGTGTGTGTGTGTGTGTGTGTGTGTGTGTGTGTGTGTGTGCGCGCGCATGTGTGTGTATATATATCTCACAAGATAAAACCTTCAAAATTTCAAGTCATTAATTTTCGCGCCTCGTTTTCCATGATTCCGTCGATGATGGAGTCCATATTGTGTTGAGCGAACGAAACGGATCAAATCCCGACCTTTCCTGGAATGATAATTGAAAATAATTATAGTTGCGTGAAAATTAAGGTTTTTTTTTACTGAACCCGCATACGTTTCCATAACAGTAATCGTGAGACGTACCGTAAGTCAGCCAAAAGTCAGTTGAAAAATTTTGAAAATTTTTGACTGGATTGACTAATTCTTACGTACGGCGCGCGGCTCCTTATACTCATTAACCACATACTTGTGTGTCCGCCTCAGATTGTAATGTTTGCGACATCATGGGAGGCGCAGCCGCACCCCAGGGTGCTGCAGCCCATACACCTCCTGTATTAATTCCCCATACGCCACGTTCCTCTCCGACTGCTGCCCTAGTGTGTAATGGTTCCCAATTCGTATCGACTGTCCAATTATCTGTAAGTATATAAATTAAGTATATAGATAGCGTTCGTGAATTACAATCTAAATTCTTATGAAGATAAATACATTCAAAAATAAAAACATTAAGCTAAAGAATTATAGAAAGAAGTATTATGTAAGTTTAATATAAAGGAAAGCTTACTATAGAAATTAATTTAGAATTTCAAGATTTAATATTCATTATTAAATAATGTAATTTTTAAATCTAGTATAGCATTACAAAAAAAGATAACAAATTATTTATTTTATAAAAAACGATAACGCGTTACTTTTATAAAGTGTCGTTTCTAATTCTGCTTAAATTTTTTCTAAATAGATAATATACCTTTCAAATCAGACAAAACAGGCTTCTCTGGAGTTTTCGGTGACTCTAATTGAAATCCGTTTGTACTCTCAGATAATAAATTTATCATAGGACTAGTATCTTCCCACAGTTGGCACCGTGTGTCTTCTTCGGGGGTCTCCAATTCTACTAACGGTTCATCTGTTTCTGGGAGATCGTCGTACGGCACCAGCTCACATTCAAACTGCCGATAATTTGACAATTGAGAGTTCCGTCATGATATTCAATAAAGTTAATTCAAACTGCGACTTACTGGATGTTCTGTAAAAGTATTGATGAAATAACTATTCGAATGTTGCGATTTGGATTGCAAAATTGAAGAATCGGGCTCGAGTGATTTATTATTCACGGTTGTACTACAGAGAAGGACTGGATTTGACATCAAACTATATTCCTTTAGTGTTTGCGATGACTCTTGCGCCAATTGAGATTTAGCACACTGAACATCTTTAACATCAGTATTAAATATCGTGGACAGATTTGACGTGTTCGTTTGACTTTTGTAATTCATATGATTTAAATTGGAAAACGACGAGACAATCTCTTGACTTCGCGCCACTACGTCGCTGAACTTGGCCCTGTTTTCACCCCAACAAGAGGGCGGAGGTGGTAAGGGGGTGGGCATTGTTCCTATGATACGTGTTACATCCTCTTTTTGACTTACATTTCCATTTATAGGAGGAGCTGCAATGAATGAAAATGAATGTTTTTATCTATACAGAACGCGTATTATGGAACTAATCGAAATTATTCCATTTGCCTAGGAAACGCAACAATAATATAGAAAATAATTGAATAATTCCGATCGAAATCCATTCTAAATAGTTTCACAGAATAGTATAGTAGATATACCTCTATTATTTTAGATAGTATTTTTGTTCTATTATGATAGATGATATACATACATTTAATGTGTATTTTGTCAGCTACACGTCGTTTCTGCACAGTCTTCTCCTTTCGTGGTGGATTCTTATTTTGACGTGATAACTTAAAGGATGATTCGACAGTACGTGAAGTATGAATATGTTTTGTATTGGATCTAGTAGTGTTCGTCTTCCATCTATTTGGATTATTCTGCTTCTCCTTATCGTACTCATCATCATCACAGTCGCCTTCATAATTATCCTTATAATCTATGCATGGCACAGGAGGAATAGATTGAGGTTTACTTTTTTTAGATACCGGTTTTCTTTGCAGCTTCTCTTGTTTCCCGCACGGTTGATCAAAACTCTGAGAATAAATTATGGAAGAAAAATCTTTTTATAAATGTCTGAAGAGAACTTATATCTGTTCATAATCTAGTAACGATCAGTAAATAATTTCGCGACAACAGTTTCATTGTAAATAAAGTGACTTTAGCAATAATTTGTTTGTAAACTTTTCAATATTTAGTTTCCAGATATTAGATTTTTATAATTATACCAGTATCGACGTAAGATTTTTTAAAATAAAAAGTCATGATACCGTTATTTAATTGATTCATGACATCTTAAGACGGTCTTAAATATAAGATCTAACTATAAATACTAGCCTAGAACTTACTTTACACGATGTCGTTTCATCGTGAGTCGAACTCTCCGTGGTCGTGGACGAGGTTTCTTCTTCCGAAAGATGATTTGTCTTTGGAGTGCTCGCTGGTTCGAGCTTTTTTAACGAAACGTGATTATTGTAATTATTACTGTTGCTTCCATTGCTATTTGTCTGTTTATTGCGCTTATTGTCAGACTTGTTAGCCCGATTGTTATTCATTATTACCGCGTCCATTTGAATCTCATTAAATTTTGGCTCGTCCTTAATACTCAATTGCGTCGATTGCGTTTTTCCTTTTCTATTTGACGTCGGACTCGATTTTGTACCTGTATTGACAATATACTTTTTCTCTTGAATCAATTGAGTGTCCGTGAGTACATCATTTGTTATGCAATTGTCCGACTGAGCCTCTTGAACGTTATTTTGTTTTTTATTATTTTTTTTCTTTGACACAAACATATTTGTCGTATTCGCGGCGTTATCTACGTTAGACAATTCTTCGAATCGCTTAAAGGATAACAGATCCTTGGATTCCGTGTCCAATTTGAATTTACGTTCTTCTTCGGCGGACCAATCTGGGATCTTTAATCCTTTCTGCACATCTTTATCCTTGTATTTTTTCACGTTCATTAACGACCAATCTGGGAATATCTCATCTTTTTTCGTCTTGTTTTTCTCGTCGCTTGTCACAATTTTATCGTTTTTGTTAGTGACACAACCGTTGCCACCACTACTTCCTTGCGTATTGCTCGAGATATGTGACAGCAGCCTTAGATCCAGAGGCGGTTGTACAGAATTCTCCTTCGAGTAATTGGCCAGGCCCTCGCGCAGTATTCGGTCCGCTTCAAAGAACGAAACCAAGGCGACGCATAACATCAGTACCGACGAAAGGATAAGAGCCGCTTTCTGTATTGCGCCTTCCCACGGCGGTCTAGCGAGCACAGACGCGCACAAATTTAACGCGTGTGCCGGTAAAGTCGCCAACAGATTAAGTATCACCACGCCGTTCTCAATGTTCTCGCCGGCATCCGGTCCCATACTCGTCATTATCAACAGCTTTCGTTCCACGCGCGATAATGTGAAGTCCGGGGTGAACGCTATCTCGATTCTTTTAGTGGCATTCGGATTCAACTTGAAAGATGTACAATTGAGTACCTTGAAGCCGTAGCCCTCGCAATGCCAATCATTGATGTAGAAACCATATATTTCGATCGGCAATTCTCCCGCATTTCTAGCCGTAAAAGATCGCTTTATGGTGAGAGTTGTCACAAGTTTATTCCGATTTCCTGGGAAAGGGAAGCGTTATAAAGAAAATCTCTTCCTTTCAATTATGATAATTAAGATGAAATAAAAAATCATCAAGAAATATGCGCGGTGCAACAAAAGTTGATTTTAGAACATGCTTTATGGGTGTAGTAACAGGACAAATAAATTGAGCACACGAAAAGATGCAAACTTTTTCTCGAGATTATGAGGCGAAAATGAGGAAACGTACATACGTTCACAATCTTTAAGATGTTTATCCGTCAGTTCGAACAACAGAGGCGTAGTTGATCCTGGCTTGCGATGGCCGAATCTAAATTGTGCGCTCGCGCCTCGACCGCTCATACGTAAGACTTCTAAAATAGTCATATTATTTCTGGAAAGCCAATAAAACATGCGTCAATACATGGAGTATCAGCATTATATCTTCTTTCTTTTTCTCTCATTAACTTGCCTAATATATAAAAAACCAGACGATGTCAAAGTGGAAAAAGGTGTATATGCCACACGAATTGTCCTTGTTTCCGAAGGATTTAAATATAAAGGAAGTGATTGAAGCGCTATGGTTACGCCCCATTGTTTCTCAAATAGTTCTCGCTCATCCGTATTTTCTTCTAATTTGAACTCCTCCGGAATAGACGAGCATTCTACACACACGGGTTTAAATCTGTGCGAACATTAAATGTTTGATCGTTAATTTCTCACCTAAATAAAAATGATTTGTGAAACGATTATCGAATCAATCACACACTTCATTGGCAAAGAGTGATAAAGACGCGCTCCTTGAGGATAGCTCCAATCCATCACCAGTTGGACTATC